ACACACACACACACAGAGAGAGAGAGAGAGAGAGAGAGAGAGAGAGAGAGAGAGAGAGAGAGAGAGAGAGAGAGAGAGAGAGAGAGAGAGAGAGAGAGAGATGGCTTCGCAGCAGCCATTATCGCAGGAGGCGAGCCAAGCTCCAGGTCTTTTAAAAGTGAGGTTGGATTCCATCCGTGGGTTCTACGAGGAGGAGGTAACGGAGCTAAACGGCGTTCTAAACGGCGGACTAAACAGCGGACTAAACAGCGGACTAAACGGCGGACTAAACGGCGGACTAAACGGCGGACTAAACGGTGGGAGTCAAGTAGAAGCTTACACCTTTCTGGAATTGAACACTCAGGGTTCTGATTTCGATTACCCTGAGTATCCCCAGCTGACTCAGGTTTCCCGCGCTTCTCAGCAATGGGCAGGTAATGGGGTAGACGTCAACGTATCAGCCCCTTTGGACGACGAAGTGGACGGGATTGGCGGCAGCGGCGGCGGCGGCGGCGGCGGCGGCGCTGAAGAAGCGGCGGCAGAGGCGGGGAATGGGGTTAGTGGCGGGAGTGGAGGCGGGGTAGGCGGAGTCGTCGGAGTCTCCTCCTCGACTTCCGCTGATGCCACACCCCCGGGCGCTCACCCCGACAACCTATCCGAAGGCGTGTCGGGATCTCAGACCGAAGTTATTAATGGGATACTTACCAGCGGCGTGAGTGAATTGAGCTTCGACGAGACAGGCGACGAAGAGCCGTTGGATGCCCACGCTAAGCATCGGGACCTCCCCGAGCACGCGTGCAAGTACTGTGCCATTCATAACCCCGGATGCGTGGTCAGGTGCAACGTACCCTCGTGTCGGAAATGGTTCTGCAACGCGAGGGGCAACACGTCAGCATCGCATGTCATCAACCACCTGGTGAGGGCAAAGCACAAGGAGGTGAGTCTCCATCGGGACACACCTCTGGGCGAGACGATCTTGGAGTGCTACAACTGTGGATGCCGCAACGTGTTCTTGCTGGGGTTCGTTCCCGCGAAGTCGGAGTCCGTTGTGGTGCTCCTGTGTCGGGATCCCTGCCTGAGTGTGAACGGTCTGAAGGATATGAATTGGGATCTGAGTCAGTGGCTGCCACTGATCGACGACGGATGTTTCAGGGACTGGTTGGTGAAAGTTCCGTCGGAACAAGAGCAACTGCGGGCTAGACAGATCAGTGCCCAGCAGATCAACAAGATGGAAGAGCTGTGGAAGACCAATCCAGACGCAACGCTTGAAGAGCTCGAAAAGCCAGGAGTGGATGATGAACCACAACCGGTAGCTCTTCGCTACGAGGATGCATATGAGTACCAGAACGTGTTTGGTCCGCTGGTGAAATTGGAGGCTGATTACGACAAGATGATCAAAGAATCGCAAACGAAGGATAACATCACCGTTAGATGGGATATAGGCCTGAACAAGAAACGAATAGCCTACTTTGTTTTCCCAAAGGAGGATAATGAGCTTCGACTGGTTCCCGGGGACGAGCTGCGACTGCGCTACGGTGGGGACGGCACTCATCCTCCCTGGCAGTGCGTAGGCCACGTGGCGAAGCTGACCGCAGCCGAAGAGGTGGCCCTTGAGCTCCCCAGCAGCCAGCAGAATGTCCCGGCTGACGTCAACCATAACTTCAGCGTGGACTTCGTATGGAAGAGCACAGGGTTTGACAGGATGCAAGCGGCGCTGAAGACGTTCGCCGTGGACGAGACGAGCGTGAGTGGGTACATCTACCACAAGATCTTGGGCCACGAGGTGGAGCCGCAAGTGGTGCGAAACACTCTTCCGCGCCGTTTTGGCGCGCCCGGGCTGCCCGAGCTGAACCACTCACAGGTGTACGCTGTCAAAAGCGTTCTGCAGAAGCCCCTTAGTTTGATCCAGGGCCCACCTGGAACTGGCAAGACAGTGACGTCGGCTGCCATTGTGTACCAGCTTGCAAAGCAGAACCAGGGGCAGGTCATCGTGTGTGCGCCCAGCAATGTTGCAGTCGACCAGCTTGCGGAGAAGATCAGTGCCACGGGTTTGAAGGTGGTCAGACTGTGTGCAAAGTCAAGGGAAGCTGTCAGCTCACCTGTGGAGCATTTGACCCTACATTATCAGGTCAGACACTTAGACTCTCCAGAGAAGAGTGAGCTGCACAAACTGCAGCAACTCAAGGATGAACAGGGGGAGCTGTCCAGTGGGGACGAGAAGAAGTACAAGGCGTTGAAGAGAGCAACCGAACGCGAGATTGCACAGAGTGCAGATGTAATCTGTTGTACATGTGTGGGCGCCGGCGACCCGCGGCTGGCGAATTTCCGCTTTCGACAGGTGCTTATCGACGAATCCACGCAGGCGACCGAGGTCGAGTGTCTTATTCCCCTCGTTCTGGGAGCCAAGCAGGTCGTTCTGGTTGGCGATCATTGCCAGCTGGGCCCAGTGATCATGTGCAAGAAGGCAGCAAAGGCTGGCCTTGCTCAGTCCCTTTTCGAGAGACTGGTTCTCCTCGGCGTCAAGCCCATTCGGTTGCAGGTGCAGTATCGCATGCATCCTGTTCTGTCGGAATTCCCCTCAAGCACGTTCTACGAAGGAAGCCTTCAGAATGGAGTGACAATGCACGAGCGTGCGCAGACGGGCGTCGACTTTCCCTGGCCTGTCCCAAACAGACCCATGTTCTTCTATGTGCAGATGGGTCAAGAGGAGATAAGTGCCAGCGGCACGTCGTACCTGAACCGCACGGAGGCGGCCAATGTGGAGAAAATTGTGACCACCTTTCTGAGAAGTGGGGTGAATCCCAATCAGATTGGCGTAATTACCCCTTACGAAGGGCAAAGGGCGTACATTGTAAACCACATGGCGCGGAATGGGTCGCTAAGGCAGCAGCTGTACAAGGAGATTGAGGTTGCGAGCGTGGACTCGTTCCAAGGACGGGAAAAAGACTTCATCATCCTTTCCTGTGTGAGGAGCAATGAGCACCAGGGAATCGGTTTCTTGAATGACCCTCGCAGGCTCAACGTGGCCCTCACGCGAGTCAGATATGGTCTTGTTTTGCTGGGCAATCCCAAGGTCCTGAGTAAGCAACCCCTGTGGAATGCTCTGTTGTCACACTACAAGGGGCATGAGTGCCTGGTGGAAGGGCCCCTGAATAATCTGAAGCAGAGCATGGTTCAGTTCCAGAAGCCAAAGAAGGTGTACAATGATCGGCGGGTCCACCCAGCATTGATGTCAGTTGTCGCTGCTATTGGCTCAGGAGGGGGAGATGCGAACTTTGTGCCTGTCCCCACAGCGAATGCTGCCACCAGCAATGGTGGTGCCACCGGCAAGGTGGTTCATGCGGCTAGCAGCGACCGACGAAGTGGTCGTGCAAGAGTGGTTCTAGGAGATGAAAGGCGGGGAGGGGTTGTGCCGTTTCCTGCTATGTCCAATGGGCACAAAGGCATTCCGGGGGCTACCTTGCACCCTCGCATTCCTGCCCCACTTCCAGGTCCAATTGGGCAACCTTATGCCATTCCTGTAGGGGGGGGGGATTGTGCCTTGCCTGGTCCGATTGGCCCACAACCGGGTGCGCGAGGTTTTGCTGTGGGACGTGGTGCTGGCATTCCTGCATCGCAGCAGTCCCAGCAGCAGCAGCAGCAGCAGCAGCAGCAGCAGGAGCAGCAAGAACAGCAGCAGCAACAGCAGCAGCGCCGGCAGCAGGAGCAGAAAGCAAATTTCCGCTTTTCCGGATTCGAAGGAGCAAGTCAAGGCTTTGGTGGACCGATGACTCAACAAGGACCAATGACGCAGAATCATTTGCGCCCGGGACTGAGTCAGCCACTGAGAGACGGCTTTTCCGTTGGACCAGCCTCGCAGGAGATCTTCATTGGGGAGGACTTCAAATCCCAGAGCTCACATGTTGCCTACGCTGGGCCTGATTTTGTCCCAATGCCTTCGCAGCCTTATGCAGGTGTCGACGTTGTGTCCCCGGCCTCACAAAACACTATGTTTGGTGGTGAGTACGGCACCCAATGCTCTCAGGGGCTGTTTGCCCACCATCAGCAGCAACCGCTTGTCTCAGATGTTATTTCTCAGGACTTCATAGGTCATGCATCGCAAGGCCCTTTCACCCAGACCGGATTCGGCGAGAGAGGAGGGCACGATGATCCGACCAGTCAACCCTTCTTTGGATTATCAGCCCAAAATGCCTCGCAGGGCGGTGACTTATCAGCAATATATATGCATCACTTCAGCCAGTTCACACAGCCTCATGTCCCGCACAGTCAGCCACAAACTCAGCAACGGCTGATGTCAGCTGTGCTGCAAGGCCAGCATCAGCAGCAGCAGAGATCTGTGCAGTTCACGTAACTACGGCTGCAGTTGGGCCAGAGCTGTGAGCATTATTGGATGATAAGGGAGGTCATTTCTCCGTCGTAATGCAGATCTCTTCTCTGGAGCATTGAGGACTCCACTGTCCTTGCGGAGGGAGACAGAGACGCAATGCATTTTCCACTCACATCTGGCTGGACTGCAAGCCCGGCCCCGACCCTGACCCCGACCCCGACCCCGACCCCAACGGGTGTCGCAGATCCTGCTTCTTTGCCGTGGCGCATCCCGAGCCTGGCGATTGCCGGGGGAGTCCTAGACCTGCTGGCCTCAGTTTATCACAGGCACAGCACAAGTGGTAGCTCTGCATCTCCAGATTAGGAAAGGATTGCACTCTTTCTACGGTCGTCCATATGCATGAAGCGTTAGCAAGAGCCACCGCGGCGGTCCTACGTCTGTTTGCTTCAGTCCACCACAGGTTGTGCTAAGGGATAATTTTCTCGGAGACGTCAGCAGAAGTGGTAGCTCTGCATGTCTGTATGCTTCAGTCTACCTCAGTCAGCAGAAATGGTAGCTCTGCATGCATGCCTGCAGATGGTGCAAGCGCTGAACTCTTTGGATGCACAAGGCATCCGTGTGTTCCTGTGGGAAAAGGGGACAGGGTGGCTTGCAGATGCGAAGCAACTGTGGGGTTATGACAACGCAGCAGACGGAGGCAGGCAGACGGCTGAATATACCTTCGCAACGAGAATTGGTGCGTGAGAACTCAGCAGCGGCAAGCAGACAACAGGACGTACATTGGCAATGGACAATGAGAATCGGTGCGTTGCTACAATATGCTGCGAGCTGAGCGTTGGATGTTGGCCTCTCCTTCTGAGAGGCACACAGCTCGTCTGGGTCTTGGCTTCTAGAGGCCACCTAGAGAATACCCCACCCATACCCTCCTTCCAGGGAAGGAAGGGTGCGTGACAACTCAGCAACTTCAGGCAGACAACAGGAGATACATCGGCAATGAGAATCGGTGAATTGCTGCATTGCTGTAAGCTGAGCTTGTGATGTTGGACTCTCCTGCGAAGCAGACAGTTTGTGTGGGATTCCGGAAGGCAACGTGGAGAAACCACCTCCTTGCAGGGAAGGGCATCAAGGATGACTCTGTGGCAGAGGGATGAGAAAGGGCTGATGGTGTGGGTGGGTGATTCACGGCACTTCCTTCTTGAAAAACCGGGTGACCAATGAAAGGAGGCCTTCAGTTGCACCTTGCTGTGGTTTAAGGGGGTCTCGTCAGTATGGAAGGAGGGCCATTCAATTTCACCGAGGGCATTCAGTTACACCTCACTCCGGTCAGAAGGGGTTTCGTCAGAGGGAATCACTTGCCAATCCCTCTATTCCAAGCAGCAAAGGGCACATCGGGACCTGCCGCTTTGCACGGATTTGGTGCTTGGTTGGCATGAGCTGGATCTGGTATCACACGATCTTCCGGTTTTGTGCATGAAAAAGAGATGGACTGGCAGTTGAAGTGCATGTCAACAGCACACAGGTCTTTAAATGCAGTTCTCTGTGTGGCGCTATTGTTGCATGCCTTATTCATCCGCCGTACTGTGGAGGAAGCTCACGGTCGCAACCCCCGTGATCAGTGGTCTGAATGCCCGGGCAGGCTGGGTGAGGGGTGATGGCTGTGTTGTTCTGCCGATATAAGATGCATTTGTGTGCTTAGTGCCACAGGGGCGGGGTGCACACAGCATGAGGAAGCTGTGTGGTGGTCAGCTTCTGCGTGTTGAAGCGGCGCCCAACTCTCTCAGAAGGAGATCCGGCAGGGAAGGGTACCAAGGACGACGTCTTTGTGGCAAAGGGAACGGAATATAGAGGAGATGACGTGGTGCACAGGGGAAAGGTGGGATGAGAAAGGGCTAATGGTGGGCAATTTTCACCGCAAACCTTTTAATTGAACGGGTGGCCGATGGAAGGAAGGCCTTCAGTTGCACCTTGCTTTGGTTGAAGGGTTTTCTTTTGTCAGTATGGAAGGAGGGCATTCAGCGGCACCTCGCTTTGGCCGGACAGGGTCTCGTCAGTGGGAGTTACTTGAGGATAACTCTTCTCTCCAAGCAGTACCGAGAACCGTGTAGTATGTCGTCTTACACGGATTGAGTGTTTGATTGGCATGAGCTTGATCTGCTTTCCCATGATCTTCCGATTTTGTGGGTGAAGGAGACGGAGTGGCAGTTGCAATGCGCGTTACCTGCGCACAGGGGCCTAGAAGTTGAGATGCTGTTTTCTGTGTGCTACTTTTTTGGGGCATGCCTAATTTGATGGAGTGGCAGTCGCAGTGCATGTCAAATGCGCGCGGGGCTTTAGATGATGTTTTTCTGTGTAGCCGCTACCATTCCATTTTTTCCGAAAACGATTTTCATTTCCGAGCGGGGGATTAGATTAACACAATTGCCTGCTTCGCGCCTTTTGTGGGTTCGAGTCCCACTAGCGCTGCTTTTGGTGCATGCCTTATTTATCCATACACATGATACGCGGTTGACGGAGTCCACGGTCGCCGCACCTCCTTTTCATCAGCGGCCCGAATGCCTGGACTTGCTGGGTAAGGGGTGATTTTGTGTTGTCCCGGTGAATTATTGATCCGTCTGTGTACTGAGTGGCTCATGGGCCTGATGTACACAGCAGCATGAGGAAGCCGTGTGGTCAGCTGCTGTGCGAGGAAGCGATGCCCAACTCTCCGACGGGGGGCCACTCACGGCTTGGCGTGTGGTATGGCTGAGTTGGCAATTAGGTGCTTTGCACCTGACCTCTGCTACTTCTTTGGGAGAGAGAGCGACTCCTGCGTTCCTACGTGTTACAGATCTCTAACGCAAGTGCTGCACGATGACAGGAAGCTGAGCCCAGATCAGGGATGGAAGACATTGGTCTGCCAGAATCGGGGCATACTCAGACTAGGAAGCTCTGGGCGTGATTGCGGTCAGATTCGTCCAGGTCTGACCGTAATTGTGGTCAGATACAACCAGGTCGGACGGTAATTGCGCTCAGATACATGTTAGGAAAGTACGAGTGTGATTATGCCCTCAGGATGATTATTATGGCTATAAAATGGGCTGTTGGGCTATATGGACATCACAGAGAGATTCGGATGAGGCCTATCAAAAAGATGGTGGCCCGGAGGATGCACCACTCTTGCTGAGACAGACTAGTGCCGAGCGCAATATCTGGCGACCTGAATGGGTTGAAGAGGTCTCAGATCTACGTTTTCGTCGAGAAATAAAGAGCGATTGACAGTCAGCCCCCTGTCACGGGGCCGGACAATCAATGAAGACCGTATCGCCAGCTTGCATTTTGTATTTGACATTGTTGTTCTCTCATGTGAAGCTGGACCCGGTTTCGAGCATGTGTTGCTCCCCACGAATAAGATTGGAGCCATCTACAGGGGTTGACCCTCCATCAGCAGGAAGGCTTCACGTTCCCCCCAGATGGCAAGCCACCAAATTACCCCACGAATAAGATTGCAGCCATCTACAGGGGTTCACCCTCCATCAGCTGGAAGGCTTGTCCTTCCCTCCAGATGGGCCAGCCACCAAATTACCCCACGAATAAGATTGGAGCCATCTACAGGGGTTGACCCTCCATCAGCAGGAAGGCTCGACCTTCTCCCCAGATGGCCAGCCACCAAATTATGTTTACAACTTCACATTTTAAAAAGGGAAAAAAAAAAAAAATAGACTGGTTGCAGTGGATAAGAAGAACACTTGCAGATGGATTTGTCATCCTTTTTTTTTTTTTTTTTTTTTTTTGGAAAAAGCAATTCGTCGTCCTGTTGTTGTGGTGGTTGGTCTTCTCCGTCTCAGCGCATTTGAAGGCAAATGGTCTCTAATGCGTGGAACAGGCTAAATTGCAAATGGATTGGTTATCGTGTTGCGGTGGTGGATGGTCTGTCTTTTCAACGTCAGCGCAGTTGAAGGAGGAGAATGATCTCTGACGTGGGGAACAGAGGCTGAATTGAAGCTTTTTCAATGTTGATGACGACATTTAAACTTGGAATTCTCGATCAGCCTTTGCAGTAGTAGCAAGAATGTTGTATCGGTGCAGGGTTAGGGTGGGGTTTCGAGGGGGGGAGGGGGGAGGGGGGAGGGGGATGGGGATAAGGACCGTTGTTGAATGCCCCCAATATGCTTCAATAATTGATGGAGGCTTGCGGGCGGTGGGGGCAGGGGGGCTATAAATGTATGGCAGGGTTGTTTCAACTGGTCTGCCATCTGCTCATTGTGCTGAGTGGGTCAAAATGCCCTCTTCAGTTGCATTGGAGGGGGCTTGGTGTATATATATATATATTATATTATATTATATTATATATATATGTTATATATGATATATATATATATTGTCACAGAACTATTGACTAAGAGCGTAAGCACGTGAAGTAGAAACAGAAATAAGATGAGCGAAGAAAAGAAAAATGAAAGGACAGACAGACAAACCAGAATGACAGAAAACAGTGTCCTCTTATTCTTTGTTTCACAGTGTTATTATTTCTTTCAGTGTTTTACTAAAAAAATTATACTGAATCAAAGGATAAAAATAAAAAAAACAAAGACACATTGAAATCATTCAGTTTCTCAGTCTTCTTAACGCCTCCTCCACTGTGCCTCTAACGTACAAGGCTCGCCACGTTGATGAAGTTGAGCGTGAGCTGCCCCCATCCCCGTATGTCATAACAGGCCACTTGCATGCTATGGGAAAGAGGCAGAGCGAAGGAAGAGGTGTTAAACACAAGGAAGAGAGGAGCAGAAAAGGAAAACCGATAGGCAGAGGGAGAAAAAAAAAAAAATGTTGACACAAACATCTTCTTTCTTTTACTGCATTCTTCTTTCTTTCACAGTTTTGCAGTTTTGGTGAAGAGTCTACCACGTTCGCTTTATATATATATATATATGTATAGCCCTCCTTTGTTGTCCTCTTCTCTCTCTCTGCCTACGGTTTACCGGGAAGTTCTGTTTGTGACGATATATATATATATATCGTGAAACAGAGCTGTCCGGTAAACCTAAGGCAGAGAGGGAGGAGAGGACAAGAAACGAGGGGCTGTGGCGAACTGTTTTGTCGGAGTTTCACCGACTCGTCAGGAGGCTGAACCCTCAACAGTCTGCAGAATCCCCTAACTGATTACACTGTAAGTGAGAATCCACCTTTACCCCGGTTGTGGTTAAGCATCAACGACTGCCCGACAACTGCTACCTTGAGGTGGGCACCAACCACTGCCCATATATGTGTATATGTGTATGTACAATGTACATATGATGAGTCGGTGAAACTCCGACGAAACAGTTTGTCACAGCCCCTCGTTTGTTGTCCTTTCCTCTTCTCCCTCTCTGCCTATGGTTTACCGGGCAGCTCTGTTTGACGATATATATACACATATATAATTATATTATATATGGTTTACCGGCGAGCTCTGTTTGACGGTATATACATATATCGTCAAACAGAACTGCTCGGTAAACTGTAAGCAGAGAGGGAGAAGAGGACAACAAAGGAGCGGCTGTGACAGATTGTTTTGTCAGAGTTTCACCGACTCACCAGGAGGCCAAACCCTATATGTTGTACATGGCGATATGTGCATTCAGCCTCCTGACGAGTTGGCGAAGCTGCTGCAAAACAGTTTGTCGCAGCCCCTCGTTTGTTGTCCTCTTCGCCCTCTCTGCCTATGGCTTACCCCCAGCTCTGTTTGACGATATAATATATACAGTCTGTAGAGTTTTCCATCTGGTGTGGGTGAGTGATAGTCTACTTTGATTTTGGTTAAGGTAGATTATCA